AAAATCGAATGGCATGAGTCAATCGATATGTTTAGATCCTCAGAAATTTCTCTAACGTTAATTCGACGATAGACCAATATTATTTTCTTCACTTTATCAATGTTTTCGTCTGTTGTTGATGTGCTCGGGCTTCCGGCACGTTGTTCGTCGTTTACATCTTCTCGGCCTTCAGAGAACATATTGTACCACTGATAAACGTTGGTTCGGTCCAAGGTAGCTTCACAATATACCACAGTTAACATGCAGAATGCGTCTGCGCCCTTTATTTTGTTTTTCACACAAAATTTGATACAGATTCTTTGATCCATGATTTAGAATAAGCAAAAATTAAAGACGACCCAAAACATATTCAAGCAAAACAGCTGTGAAAAATTAACTAAACATTCAAAATGGCTGACCTTGTCAGCATAAGTAAGGGACATAAGTACCAATATAACGCTACAAAAAATCAAAAATCAAATTTACGTAGCCCTCGAAAATTCAAAAGTTGTGATACTTTTTGAACAGACCTCGTACATCCATCAACCAACATAAACAAACGAAAAGCAAAAATTGTATTACCTAATCATAATTTTATTAGAATCTCAAACGTCAAATGCAGAATATCAAACCAATACCTTTACGCTCATCTTCATAGAATTAAAAACCAATGAAAACAATAAAAAAAATCATTTAAAATCAAAAGACTAAAGACTCAAATCATTAGTTTTGCATTCACTACTAGAATTTTGGACATACCTAAAACTAGTACGAGGGAGGTCAATAAGTCTCTACAAAATCCAAGATATGGCGCTCGACACGTTTAAATTATGATGTTTTTGACGAGCAATACTACTAACTAGATATCGTACAAAGTTTCAGCTCGATTCATTAAGTCGTTTTTTGTGAGCGTTGGTTGAACAAAAAGTTATTGGTTTATTTGAAAAATGGAAAATGGATTAAAATTGCAGGAATTAGTTGAGGCCACAGGGGTAACTGAAACATTATTAGGTCAGCTGAAAGAAAAAATCAGAGAAAAATGTCCTAACTTGAACAAAAAAATGCCTCTTTTTTCAAGAGAATGCTCGAGTTCACACGGGTGCAGTTTCGATGGCAAAAATTAACGATTTAAAGTTCGAATTAATGAACCATCCACCATATTTGCCTGATTTGGCTCTCAGTGACTTTTTCTTATTTCCTAACCTCAAAAAATGGCTTGCCGGACAACTATTCACGTCGAATGAAGAAGTCATCGCCGAAACAAATACATATTTTGAGGGTTTTCAGAAATCATATTTTTTTGATGGCTTAAAAAAAACTGGAAGGCCGTTTAATAAAATTTATCGACCTTCAAAGAGATTATGTTGAAAAATAAAAAAAAATTACATACGCAAAACTTTTATTTCTTTTTTTTGTAAAGACTTATTGACCCCCCTCGTACCATAAGATTCTTATTGTTCACGGCATATGACACGCGCGCGCTGTATGCTGATAAAGATCGGTCCCAAACACATGGGCTCCAGGCGCTCATCGGCCGAGCTCGTTATGTCTGGGAAACCTGAGTCCCAGTTCGGCCGAAACATATTTTCCGTCCGAATAACGGGTGAGCATGTTTTTTCTTCTTCTATCTCTCTCTAAATAAAAGAGAGAGCTACGAAGGACTACCTTCCTAAAAATCGCTTCGAAACATCGCTTCGCACGGTCCACCTAGTTCGTTTCTGTGAGTGCGATTTGTCAGTGCCTAGCTATAAACGTCGTGCAAACCGCATTTTTTGTAAGTGTACCCGCGCCTGTGCACTCGAACATCGACAACTCGGCGATCCAGCGACCGCAACAAGGACTAGCAGAGCCATAGGCCTAACTGAGGATACACAAGGTATCCTCTGAGGCGTCCTCCGCCCTGAGGCAGCCCGAACGGCGGCTATTCTTCCACTTACATCACTAGGAGCAGTGGGCTGTGCCTGTAACCAGAACGTTAGCACCATACTACTCCAGGAGGCGCCTTCCTTATCGCGCAAGGTGCACAGGCGGCGTCGCGAGGTGAGCGAGTTAGAACCGTTGAATGGCCATCCACAGACAGGTAGAGCGACTGACCAAGCTAATCGAGTCTGAGCCTTCCTTATCCGTTGTATTTTAGCGATTAGTTATTTATCTTTGTCAAGTTATTGCGGGTTAATTGTATTCGGTTGTAAGCAATTTTTGTTGTTATTGTTGTATTTTAGCGGCTTTTTCCCTACTCAAACCTGGAGTTTTTTAAGCCGCCTAAATGCAAAATTTGTTCTAATAAAATAGTTTGTAAACGGTTTAATTAATTATTCATTTACTAATCACACACCTCTCCTTTTTACTGTAAGGCACAAGATTACCTTACACTCACCCTTTTGTTACTTATTCTTTATCAATTCTAATTAAATTTAAAATTCATTACCCTGAATCGTTCAGAGTAAATACTTATTTTGAAAAAAAAAATTAAACATTGATATAATTGGAAGATTAAAAAAAATGTATAGTTAGACTGGTAATAATTTACATTCTCTAATTTACATATATATTTACTCCTCAAACATCCTGATGATGTCAGCGTAATTAGGAGCTTCAAGAAGCATTCAATGCTGATGAAATAGTACGTCGTGAGAGGTTAGAAGAAACGCGATAACATCGTCATTGAACGTTACTTTACTTTTGAAAATTTTTATCTACATTTCTTAAAGAAAAAACTAGACACAATCATTCTGATCCGATGAGGTCGAATGTTTATTGATTCAATTTTTTTCATCTGCGAATACAGAGATTCTAACGCGCACAACAACAAAATGCCACTAGCATCTCATTAGAAAAAGCAACGGCCATGAAAAGTTGTATACACTCGTACATACCCTCAGCTTAATGGAAGCACACTCATGCTATGTACGAGGGTGGTTCGATAAGTACTTAGCTTACAAAAGAAAATCGAAAATTTTGGAAAAGTGGAGTTTTATTTTTCAACATAGTCTCCTTTTAGTTCGATACACTTAGCCCAGCGATGCTCCAACTTCTTTAACCCGTCAGAAAAATACGTTTCCTTGAGGTCTGAAAAGTAGACTTCCGTGGCAGCGATTACTTCCTCATTCGACTCAAATTTCTGCCTGGCGAGTGACTTTTTCAAGTTCGGAAACAAAAAGAAGTCGCACGGGGCTAAATCTGGAGAATACGGTGGATGGAGCAGCAGTTCGTAGCCTAATTCGATCAAATTGGCCATGGCGACGGCGGAGGTGTGAGCCGGTGCGTTGTCATGGCGGAAGAGCACTTTTTTCTTCGCCAAATGGGGCCGTTTTTTCTGCAATTCGACGTCGAATCGGCCCAATAATTCGGCATAGTACAGCCCTGTGACCGTTTTGCCCCTCTCCAGGTAGTCGATGTAGATCACACCTTGTGAATCCCAGAAAACGGTGGCCATCACCTTTCCGGCCGATGGGGCAGTCTTCGCCATCTTCGGAGCACTTTTGCCCGGTAAAGTCCACTGTTTCGACTGTTCCTTGGTCTCTGGTGTATACCAATGGATCCATGTTTCGTCGACTGTCACGAAACGACGCAGAAACTCCTTCGGATTGCGCGTAAACAGCGTCAGACATTGCTCTGAAGTTGTTTCACGGTTGCGCTTGTTGTCCGGAGTGAGCATACGCGGCACCCGTCGCGCCGACAGCTTCCTCATGCCCAACATTTCATGCAGGACATGACCCACGCGGTCTTTTGAGATGCCTACGATCTTAGCTATCTCGCGCCCCTTCAATCGTCGATCTGCCAATACGAGATCGTGAATTTTTGTCACGTTATCCTTCGTGGTAGCCGTTTTCGGAGCACCTGGACCTGGTTCTTCAAAAATCGACGTGCGACCACGTTGAAACTCGTTAAACCAATTTTTGACGCTCGCTATCGAAGGAGAAGAGTCACCGTACACAGCATCAAAGCGCTTTTTGATTTCGCTGCGCGATTTCCCTTCCAAAAACAAGAATCGAATCACCGGCCGATACTGCTCTTTTTCCATTTTTCAAAAATCAACGGACACACTTGCTTTCACACGCTCTCAAAAATAAACTAAAACTCCGATCCGGCTGAAATCTTGACAGTAACCATCGAGAAGGTTGTACTAGGTGATAGAATATTTCTTTTGCGAGAGTGACGCCATCAGACGGTGAGGCTAAGTACTTATCGGACCACCCTCGTATGTGAATAGGACATCTGAGTATTTCTGGACAAGAAGGTGAAGTAGTATTGTAAAATGCTCTATATTCAGGCTACATTAAAACTAGTGACATTTTATTGATGCGCTGTCGCACACATCTCAATCGTACAATGTGATTTGCCACATATACAAATTTATCCATGTATAGGCATACAACACGTAAATTTTATTATTTTATTAAGAAATAAGTATCGTATTCAATCGTATAGAATGAAACTTTTTCTTCAACAAAACAAACCAATTGATAGTAAATAAATACTATGTACCTGTCTAAATTAAACTGAACTATTATTTATTCGTGCACAAAACACATAATTTTTATGTTATCGGTCGTATATAAAATGTAATTTTTACTAGTAAAATGAATGATCAAAAAAATATGAAGCTTACAAAAAATATTGTTTTTCCATTATCATAATTTAGTTTCTTAAAAAGATACAAAATTGTTATCAAATTCCAATACAAGAAAACGATAAAGATTACAAACGAATGAATTTTATTAGTCCGTATTAGAATAAGTATAAAAGATAATATATAGAAATAAATCAAAATTTAGGTTATGTAATGATACGCATTTATTTAGAATAAAACAAATTAAAATCAGGTTATCATTGAGCAGAACCTTACTGGGGGAGTGGGCTTACAAAATTTGTTAATCAGTGAAGTGTACGAAATAAAGAGATCTTTTTATTAAGCAGTCTATTCAAGATTTCGTAATATGAACGTAGGATTTCTCAATTTTTCTTTAATATATGTAGAAATAGTATAATTCAAAGCAAAGTTTCAAAAGAAAATTTACCATTTGTGATTGTAGTTTTTGTTTGAGATGTGCTGACTGAAGTTGATGATAAATTCAAATTGCACGTGGTGCTTGTAACTAGAGATGAACTGCTTGTTGTTTCGAATGAAATATCTTTGTTTGTCATTACTTTATTATCCTGAGATCCTTGTTGATTTTGTGAAACATAATTAGGATATGTGTTAGAATAAACCTAAAAAAAATATATTTTATTAGTTTTTATTTTTAAAGCTGTTTTTGTTAAATATTGAACATTATGACTGTTTCTTTGCATCCTCAAAAAAATATCTATTAACCATCCAGTTTGTGAGGTTTTATTAGTTTCAATGGTGTATATATTGATAACTTGATAGTGCAAATATATTACACATTGTGCATCAAGTGAGGATATGGGCAGTTGATACACGGCATAAAGTTACCGACCGAGTGCAGAGATTCGGCATTTTATACAGTGCGTAGTTTGTTTACTGTACACCTGTAGTGCATATACTTATTTTTCGTACATCTTTATAAAGGGATGATGCTGTGCTCTTACTAGGTGACACAGAAACGTATTGATTATGTAATAGTAAAGTAATTTGGGTACGCGTGATGAGCTACGTTTACCGCTTGAGGCGTAAGGAGTCTTTGTGAGAATATTTGAAAATATATATTTAGGTATTGACAAAATTCGTTTCTTATTAAAACATTATGGATACTATAAATGCCATTTGTTCTCTAAATTTTATTGAGATTTATTATATATCGTATTAGTCGAACGTGTTATATTTTTTTTTTAATTTACGTTATTAAGCTACCAAAACTAATAGATCTAATCGTTAATCTTTGATATATATTAGGTTTAAAAATAAAATTACTATTGAAATATTTATCTATCGAATACGTATATTGCTAAGTACCCGAACCTCCAACCTAACCTAGAAGACAGTATACATGACTTTTGGTTCATATCATGGCTGTCTCCCTTCTGATTTAAATGTTCATATTATGAAGCCATTAAATAGAATACATAGTTGTAAATATTTAGAGATTGTGGGGAGAGGGAAAAATCGTTGATTAAGGCCCCAAGTCTTATTGAAAAACCAAATATATAGCCATATTTGGCATAAAAGATAAGTCTTGTCACAAGTTAAAGAAAAAAAATTGCAACAACCGTTTTTTAAAACTTTTTTCACTCTTTTGCCTATAGTTCAACCACGTTTCAATATTTTTCAACGACATTTTTCTACCTTTATACCAAAGGAAATTTACTAACAACTGCATGCTCTTTCAAGCATTGTTCCAAGAAGGTACCTTAACCCTACCTCATTGATTTTAATAATTTTTTTATACATTGTAATACTTCAAAAAATAAGACTTACATATTACTTTTTATGTGCCACCGTTTTTAGAGATTTTTTTGTCATCTTTTGCTTCTAGCACTTAACAGGGTAAGTTTTATAACAAATCTAATATTTTGGAAAAAAACTTAAAATAATATTTGACATCTCTTCGCAGTTATCGACAAACATTGAAGGCATTGATTTTAACCCTATCTTATGATTACTCAACGTTTTGTTCAAAATTTGTAATACGAGTTTTCGTCTCTACATAACTTAAGTATTTTACAAACTTAAAACTTTTCAATCAGTGTTTACAAGTTTGCTCGGAAAATTTAAAGAATGTGTTTGATGAAGTATTCTCACAAGAACCGTCAAAGAAAGCTTGCAAAATTGGTAATGATATGGTAGTAATCAAGTCTTCATAATAATTTTTTCGACACTCCGTGCGGAAAGTGCGTTTTACCTGCATGCTCGGCAAAAAACGTGCATTGAAAATCGCACTTTCCACACATCGTATTAAAAAATACAGTACGCCTCACGAGACCAGAATCTATTTTCCCGCACTTGTATCGTAATGTACTAATACCATTTGTAAAACTCACGAAATAATTACTCACACACGAAATAATTTTTTGATAAACTTATACATTAGTTTGTGTACATATCTAAATAACTTTATTGACAGTCAAGGAAGTCATTACCAATCTGAAATCAAAAAAATGAAAACAAGATTATTCAGCTATTCCACTGAAAATTAAAATTAAATATGTAAATTTAGAAGAAAATCATGGTTGGTTGCTTAACATTCTGCAACAAAGACGATTTTATTTTTCTACTAAATGGAACATACTAGAGATTAGAAAAAAGATATTCAAAAAGGAGGTACTCAATTTCATAAGCAAAAATTCATAAACAAATGAAAATATGACAGAGTTTTCGATGGCACAGAGAAAAAACTTTTGCTAAGTACTTAGAACTTACAAGAATGGGCAGTGCAAGGTGCTATGTAATTTAATGAAAAAAACTTTCAATTTAGTGCTTCCTTATCTCGGTAAACAGATTAAAAAATATTACCGAATTAAGCAAAGAAAAGTCATGAAATCTGTAAAACCTGTAACAGAATATAAATCATTAATAAAAATATTTTCAATCGTTGAAAAATTCTAAGATGATATTCTAATACAATAAAAGATATGAGTAAGAGCTATGTTTTCAACACAGATCAAATGGGTTGCGAATACAGAACAATATAAATAACAACCTTCTCGATGGTTACTGTCAAGATTTCAGCTGGATCGGAGTTGTAGTTTATTTTTGAGAGCGTGTGAAAGCAAGTGTGTCCGTTGATTTTTGAAAAATGGAAAAAGAGCAGTATCGGTCGGTGATTCGATTCTTGTTTTTGGAAGGGAAATCGCGCAGCGAAATCAAAAAGCGCTTGGATGCTGTGTACGGTGACTCTTCTCCTTCGATGGCGACCGTCAAAAATTGGTTTAACGAGTTTCAACGTGGTCGCAAGTCGATTTTTGAAGAGCCACGTCCAGGTGCTCCAAAATAGGCTGCCACGGAGGATAACGTGACAAAAATTCACGATCTCGCATTGGCAGATCGACGATTGAAGGTGCGCGAGATAGCTAAGATCATAGGCATCTCAAAACACCGCGTGGGTCATATCCTGCATGAAATTTTGGGCATGAGAAAGCTGACGGCGCGATGGGTCCCGCGTTTGCTCACTCCGGACAACAAGCGCAACCGTGAGACAACTTCAGAGCAATATCTGACGCTGTTTAAGCGCAATCCGAAGGAGTTTCTGCGTCGTTTCGTGACAGTCGACGAAACATGGATCCACTGGTATACACCAGAAACCAAGGAACAGTCGAAATAGTGGACTTTACCGGGCAAAAGTGCTCAGAAGAAGGCGAAGACTGCCCCATCGGCCGGAAAGGTGATGGTCACCGTTTTCTGGGATTCACAAGGTGTGATCTACATCGACTACCTGGAGAAGGGCAAATCGGTCACAGGGCTATACCATACCGAATTATTGGGCCGATTCGACGTCGAATTGCAGAAAAAACGGCCCCATTTGGCGAAAAAAAAAGTGCTCTTCCACCATGACAACGCACCGACTCACACCTCCGCCGTTACGATGGCCAAATTGATCGAATTAGGCTACGAACTGTTGTCCCATCAACCGTTCCAGATTTAGCCCCGTGCGACTTTTTGTTTCCAAACTTGAAAAAGTCATTCGCCGAGCAGAAATTTGAGTCGAATGATGAAGTAAACGCTGCCATGGAAGCCTACTTTTCAGACTTCGAGGAAACGTATTTTTCAGACGGGTTAAAGAAGTTGGAGCATCGCAGGTCCCAGTGTATTGAACTAAAAGGAGACTATATTGAAAAATAAAACGCCACTTTTCCATAATTTTTGTTTTTCTTTTGTAGGCTAAGTACTTATCGGACCACCCTCGTAGATTTGATCATCGATATTTTTTTTCATTATGTTGGTATACATGTCTCTTTACATAAGTTCGCAGTTTCAGCCAGTTTGTATGTTTACTTTTTTTTGCGAGACAGAAACGTTTGACGTATTTTTTGTGCTCGACGATTTTCTGATGTCGAAAACAATAGATCAAAGAATTTGCATAAAATCTTGTGTAAAAAATAGAATTAAGTGTTCCAAAAGACTTGAAATATTGACAGTGGCATACGGTGAGACTACTTTAAGTCAAAAAAATGTTTATAAATACACCGACGACGAACCTCGCTCTGGACGCCCTAGCACTTGATGAGAGTGTTGAAGAAGTAAAACAAATGCTGTTAAAAAATCATCGAATCACTATTAGAGAAGTGGCTGAAGACGACGGTATACGAGGTGTGTTCAAAAAGTAAGGTGACTTTGTATTTTTAAGAAAAGATATTTATATATTTATCAATATTTATGTTGTCCCCTTCAAAGTAATCCCCCTCAGATACAATACACTTATGTCAACGGTTTTTCCAATCCTCAAAGCACTTCTCATAAGCACTTTTCGGTATAGCCCTGAGCTCTTCCAGCGATGCAGTCTTTATCTCTTCAATCATTGCAAATCTCCGTCCTTTCATAGGTCTCTTTAGTTTTGGGAACAAGAAAAAGTCACATGGGACCATATCCGGTGAATATGGTGCTTGAGGCATGATTGTGGTTTTGTTTTTGACCAAAAAATTCGAGACAAGCAACGATGAGTGAGCAGGTGCATCATTGTGATACAAAATTCATGAATAGTTTTCCCATAATTCCGGACGTTTATTCTTCGTATTGCTTCTCGAAAACGGTGCATAACTTCAAGATAATACTGTTTATTGACCGTACATCCATATGGTAAGAACTCCTGATGCACCACGCCATGGTAATCGAAGAAAACAGTGAGCAAAACTTTGACATTTGATGGAACTTGGCGTGCTTTTTTCGGTCTTGGCTCATCTGGGCTCTTCCATTGGGACGATTGGACTTTGAAATTTTTTCAAATTGGAAAATTTTTTGAAATTGTTTCACTTAATTGGAGAACACCTCTGCTGATTGTATGCGAAAACTTAACAGCTCAGCGCTACATTGACCAAATCTTGAGACTGATTGCACTGCGCAGACGACAACATTAGAGGGCGTTTATTCTAATGCAAGATAACGCACGTCCACACATAGACAACATCACCAGACGCTTTTTAGAACGACATAATATCACATTGCTGCGGCACCCACCAATGAGTCCAGACCTTAATCCCATCGAGCATGTTTGGGACATAACGGGTCGTCTGTTGCGCAGAGAGTATCCAAATTTGTACAACTTGGCCGCATTAAAGCGTACGCTTCTGCAAATTTGGAACACCATTCCGCAACC